TATTTACCTTTCCATTAATCCAAGGTATCAGGACCCCAATGAGAAAAAGGCCAAGTAAGGGGCCGCTAGTTATAGATCCGAGAGTCATTGATAATTGTAGAACCGTTCCCATTCGCTCAACGACAAATACTAATGCCACACAGAGGGCTCCCATCAAAATCACAGACAACCGCATGACAAATGCAGTTTGGCGCTCACTAAGCGGAGTTTTTCCCAAAGGCTTAATGTAATCCTCGAGAATGACAGCAGCCAAAGAGTTTAGGCCAGTCGATAGTGAACTGAGCGCCGCACTGAAAACTCCTGCAACGAACAATCCTGGCATTCCAGGAAATACACCCAGGATATCCATCACCAGAAGTGGCACCAACTGATCCTTCACTTTTGCTAACTTTGTACTTAGTGGATCACAATCGTGGTAAGTAGCATAGAGTAATAATCCATTGTAAAAACAAGCGCCCATAAGTGCAATTATACCAATGGTGAACCAAAGTAAAGCTCCTTTAACTTCCTTCATTCCGGGAAGAGAGAGGTATCGCTGCATAATTACTTGATTTCCCGCCGTAACTTGAACATAAAACAACGTAGCTCCTAGAAGGACCGACAGCATGGATACACGAACTGAAGGATCCCAAGTCATTCTACATTTTGTGTAATAATACATATGTATGTATGTATGTATGTTGCCGCACATGGATACCAGCTCCATTGATTATTTGACTTACTCAGGAAGTTCAAGGCGACTTCCTTTTAAGTTTCGCTCCCAAACTACAGTTAATCCTCCAACGTCTATAGTGCCCTTTATGATGACCAGCACTATGGATCCCACCATTATTACCGTTTGAAGAACATCGGTCCACACTACAGCTTTTAGTCCACCCTAAATTAATTAAATTTCCAATTGAGAAAACTAAAGTATTTGTCAATTTTATTGTGGCTTATTCAAATTTTTATTTTAATATTTTTATTGAGCTTTGTACCACGATTTTGTTTATTAGGGAAAATCTGAGAAAGCAACAAAGTCCAAACGGTAGAAGTTATAGCAGCTATTTCGGAGATGACCACATCATCAGACTTATTTTTTCTAGACTTCAGCAGGGATCGAACCCGCGTCATCGATGTGCTATGCAGACCCCGTAAGCTCCGTAAGCCCCGTAAGGGAATGAATTAGCAACAAGAGCTTACGGGGTGTGCATATCTCAGTGGTTAGCGCTTCTGACTTTGCAAATCGATGACGCGAGTTCGATCCCGGCTGAAGGCCATAAAAAAGAAGTGTGATGAGGAGATGTGGTGATCTCCGATAACTTCTACCGTTTAGACTTTGTTGCTTTTTCAGTTTTTCCCTAATAAACAAAATCGTGTAACAAAGCTCAATAAAAATATTAAAATGAAAGCAACTAAATTTAACAGGCCATTTCTCTTGCTACTTACCACGCATGTGTAAAATATACAAACGATGCACACTACAGGTGTAACAATATGGATATTAATGCCGGTAACTGAAAACATACAAGTCTATGAGTACAGTATAGGTATGTAGATGAGAATTTCGCTAGTGGGATAAATTACGGGAATGCAACTCACCTTGATTGAAAGCCAATGCAGGAACATATATCACAATAGGCAACCAGAATATCTAAGATGGCATAGAATAGTAAGGAATCCTCTTTAGAACTTCGGGAATCACTTACCGTTCCAATACTAAAAAGCACGGAGCCAAACAAACGATTTCTTCGATCAAAGCGCATTTCCAAATACTAGATATATGTATGTACATATGTATACCGGACGTATGTATGTACATGTATGTAATGAGCAAAATACAATTGTAGAAGAAACGTGAATAACTCCAAAATATTAATATTTCGAAGGGCTTATTAAATTCACGCGAAAGGGAGCAAAATGCATGAGTTAAGTGGAATATATCGCAATATTTTCGTATCCAGTATGGGAAGAAAATAATCAACAGTCGCTGCATTGTAAATCTTATGTACATACATATTTATATATATATTAGAACAGAAATCAATACTTATCATCGTTGAGATAATTCCCTAACGGATACAAAAGAAAAATTACGAAATGCCCAGTCTTCAATTTGATAAGATTTTTATTTAATTAACGCGCCGCTTATAATATCACTGACGGCTTCGTATCAAGAAAAAAAAGAAATATCATTTTGTTAAAAAAACAAATTGTCTAAGTAATTGCAGTGGGATGTATTACCGTGCGACTAATAATTCAATCGATTATTGAATTAACCTTCCGTCTGTGTATTGATTTTATTGACATAGTTTGTGCCCTGGGTTAGAAATGACCACACTAATTTCTCAATGAAAATCACAAAATATTTTCAACTTTTATACTACTCTCAATTTCTGGTAGTACCCAAATTCGAATATATGAAGAGAAGTAATACATCGTAGTCTCTAGCACATCTAGTATGAGGTAAAAATATGGCAGTTTTAAAGTACCTGGAAAATACGGATTCTTACAATTTAGAAAGAATTGTATTCAAGAAAGGCATTCTGTTTGCTTATAAAAGTATGTATGTGTGTATATGTAAGTGTGTCCGTTTTAGTTTTCAGATGTAAGCGGTAGATAACTATCGCGTTCTTTTGTATGAAATATGAGCAGGAAATTTTGTTTTTCATACGCCATATATACCCTCTTTTGATCAAAATCCATAAAGGCAGTGTCACACGATTGGGAATTTCCCCAAAATTTGGTGCAACCTTTATCCCAATCGTGTGAATGCACAAATATTTTTCTTTATTCCAATCTCGAAAAATAAATCTTGTTCCTTAAAAAAAAAAATTGCCGCCCCAATTTTTTTTTATTTTGCACCAATAGCCCAATATAAAAATATCCAAATCTGTACAAATGTACCAATCAAGTGACACTGCCTTAAAACTATATGCGCTTTAAAATAAAAACAACAAATTGTCGAGCTTTCGTAATAAGATTTCCTAGAAAGAGTATGCAGTTTTGTAGCCCACTGAATTCTAGTAGAATGAAGTACAAGTTTCAAATGGCTAAAAATTACTATTGATTTTTTAGAATTTTTAAAAAAGCACAAAGTTTCAAACTTGGACTTACACGGGTTTTGTTAAGGAATGAACTTTATTTTTATAAAAAAAAATAACCAAAATGAAATAACAACAAATATATGTTAAAAAAATAGGAAAAATTGGTTGGGCTAAAAATGTATGACCACTATATCTATTTTTTTATATATTTCATTGGACATGCACATTGTACATAAAGGTATGTATATTTATAACAAAATTAAAAAATAAATGCCTTTTTGCCTTTTTCAAAGCCCACTTTGCCTTTTTTTAAGTTTTTAGTGCCTTAGGCCCACTTGCAGAACATCCAGAGTTAAATGTATAAATAGAGAGATAAGTAGCTCAGAGTTAAATTGTTATATTCCTTAACCAGACATTGTCTTGCAGCGTTGAAAACTGGCGCAGAGCTAAGTAACCCGAGGGATTTTAAAATTAAGTAGGCACCACTCTCTCTTTTTTGACGTTTATTTACATATGAATATAGAATTTCAAACACTTCCATACATACATGCATAAATAGGTACAAATTTTAAATTGGCCAGCGGCACTTCCGAGAGTTCTCTTAATTGGATGGACTACTAACACGGTTGGTGCATTTTAATCGCATATATTTTTTACGCCAGACTGACCAAAACCTCAGAGCTGAAGGCGGAATAATGAATACGTGAATATGTATGTATGTATGTACATATGTTTTCAAAAATATTTTTGAAATCTCAATTTATTTTTTCTTGTTATTGACAGAAATGACATACGTAGAGTTAGGAAGTTAACCTTCGAAAATTGCTGGGCTAAATATTTAACGATTTAACTCTAATTTTACTCCTAACCATTGATTGTACAAGCCAACTTATCAATTTAACCACTAAACTTCGGGTTAAATAGAGAACCTGCTGTTCTGCAAGTGGGCCTTAAAGTCATAAACCCTGGTTATAATTTTTTAACTTTTGTGAGTTTTATATAAAGTGTAAACCTTTGTGGCATTATTCATAAAAGCACTTTAATTTGTCTGAGAGTGTACCCGAATATATCGTCGTTTAAGGTATCGCGGTTATGCAAAACCTCGCGTCTGACATTTGTTCCAAAAATGAGATTTGGTCACCGGAAGAGAGAACCGTTTTGAAATAAGACACTTTTTACTCTCTCCTCTACAGTTTGGGCAACCTGCCGTGCGAGGAATCGCATTATCTTGATACGCGGTTTTGTTGTATTTTATTCGAATTTGTGAATGGGTATCCTTAAAAAATTTACTTAAAATTTAAACGGATCCTTTTCTTACCTCGTATGTGGAAGTTAGTTGCAGATTACAAAATACCGGCAGGAAGACGTACCACGATATGATTCCGGAAATCACCAAAGTGATGAGAATAAAAGCATATTGAGTACCATAGACGTAAATTTCGGTGGATGTGCCCAGCAGTGAAATGCCCGATACAAAGCTGAAATTAAATTATATTAGTTCAATAAGGCCCAATTTCAGATGGGCTATTTAAGTAGAGATTGTTGACTAACTTCACTCTTGAGATTTCAGTTAGTTAGTTTCAATACATTAACAGTTACACGTTTTGTAATTAATTACATACCTAGCTTATGTTGCTATGTCTATCCAGCTAATTTATAATTTGTATATTGTAATATTAGCTTTATAGTAAATAAATAAAACTAATTTCTTGGCATATTGAAATAAAGGTGATCTTTAACGCAACGAAAGAAATATGGCATTTAAATAAAAATCCAAAATTAAATTTAAGTGCCATTTAGAATTTCAGGTTATCAATTCGTTGGAGTATTTTTTTCTTTTTTTATGTATGCTACCGCATAACTTTGGACCACGTGAACCGATTTGAATAATTCTTTTTTTTTTATAGAAAAGATGGTAATTTGCTTTAGATCCGATCATTGGCTCATAACGGTACTCTTAAATTTTTATATGAGAATTGAAGTCGGTTGTGTTTTTGGTTTAAAAATACTTGTTTAATAAAAAACAATTTTAACTCAAGATGCGCTCAACTTTCAAAAGTAATAAAAAATTTTAAAAAAGAATTTTAATACAAATAAATTAGTTAGTTCCATAACATTTTTACACTTCTATGCTAATTTTCCTCGATTTCTGGTTTCCGATTTTCGACAGAGATGGTGATTTTTCACGATTGCCTCATTAAAAAAATTAACTGAACTCATTTTGTTGAAACGTACTCGAAGTTGGCAAATTAAATCTTCGAACCCTTGTTAAGTGCATATCAGTGGTAAATTATTTTAGGTTGTCAAGTGTTCGTGTATTTATTTCTTCAAGAAAATTTACAGCAAATGCAAAGTGCTTGTTCAAGCAACAGAAATAATACTTGAGAGCTGGATTCTAAACTTTAAGGTACAGTTTGTATTTGAGGTGGTTAGCTTTGGTGGGGAGGTTTGAACCCCAAACCCACCCCTTGTGTGCGCTACTGACGTCAAGCAAATGAACACTGTCTGTTGTTGTATATCCTGCTGTCAATGTTTGAAGTTTATCGGCCCATTGTAAATAGTTACTGTCACGACGTCCAGACATATAATTTCCATGGGTCCGTTGATGCGAAAGATATTCCATGCCAGTACCTAATTCATACTAAAATTTCCAGGAATATCTTATGGAAGCTGCGAACCAAAAAATGTATCAATGGCAGCAACTTATTGCACTGTTCCGCGGAACCCAAGTCCAGGGAAGTCTTCACAAAATCCCTTTTCTATAGTTCGTACGTATGAACGTATGACTGTATGCATGGACGCCATGGCCAAAGATAATTTTTCCGGAATTTTTCTCAACCCTCAATTGGATTTTGAATTAAGGGATTCGTATTTTGTGAATGTGCCCTGAAGTATCCATTACCTTGATATTTAAAATATTTATGGTTAGGCATAAAATAATTGGCTTTCTCTATAATGCAATGATTCCAGGCATATCCGAATAACTTTACGCAACATGATATTTTTACTATTAACCGTTTTCGTTTCATCGCTCAAACTGGTCTCTCTGCTTACAGCCGCGATTTAGATATGTATTTCCTTTGCTTGTGAGCTTATGAGAACTGTATGGCTTTCTTCTACCGTCCCTTAAGTTTGAATTTGCAACGCAGAAGCAATCAAATTGCCGCGACGTGTTGGGAATTCGTAATTACACAAACGCATTTGCTTCTTTGTGCTTTTGAAGAACGTGAACAGGGACTGCTTCTGTGTGCAGACAATGTATTAACCACGACATATTTTATCAATTACATTTTGTATTATTAAATTTCCAATGAAGCAAATACTATAAAATACTGTTCAAATGTGATTATTCAAAAATTTAATGAGAGTACCGATATTAAATAGTGATGTGCTTAGTCGGTACTATTAGGTATTGAGCGATACTCGGTAGCGATTTAAAAAGTATCCAATACTTTCGATACTCGGTACCCAAATATTGGAATTTCTAATAAGATTCCGCAATACCCACAAATATGGAATAAAAGCTGTTTAGTGAACATTGGAGTATTGTTAAAGAAATCTATTTCTCCACATTATTTGGATCTGAGCGTTCTCGTCGCTGGATTAATATCTGACGCTGCGGCAACCGCACTGCAAATCGTAATAAATATTCTTTGAATAGAGAGTTACCATAAATATTACGAATTAACAATGTTGCCACAAGAACTATTGAAGTGGGTAAGACTGTGGCGATATGTACCAGAAGGTTCAAATACTGGCATACACATTGCTCATCTTTTGAGGAAACATCGTCTTATTTGTCCTTTTTTCTCAGGCGATGTCATATAAAATACCAATGTAATATTTTTTTCTGCAAAAAGAATACCCTTGACCAGTTTTGACCAGGTTTGGCTATTTTTTATTTGTTTATAATTCTTTTTATAAAAGTTTAGTACATTACCAAACCGGAACCACAAAAATCCACATTTCAAACTTCGTACAAAATTTATAAAAACTAAACAAACTTTAACAATTTTACCCAAAAATTTTTGAACTCTTTGTGCAGTTTTATAGCCCATTAAATTCTAGTAGGTTAAAGTGCAAATTTCAAGAATCGAGAAAATCGCGTTCATTTTTAACAGTTTTTTTTAGATGGTCTTATAAACATTTAAAGTAAACAAAATAGAAATAAGCAAAACTGGTCAAAATGTCACTAAATTTAATCAGCTGACCACATGACGAAGATTTAATGTATCGAATCGGTATCGGGTACCGAAAAGAAAGTATGTATTGGGTACCGAATTTTTTTTCTCAAGTGTTGAGTACCGAGTATTATGTATCGACAATAATTGTTCAGCCCATGACTAGTATTAAATAGGATTAGTCGCTAATAGAGGGTGCAAGCAAACAAAATCATACACATGCATGTACTCGTAGTTATTTATATACACAGTGTTTCTGCTAGTTCTGTGAGCACGTCTTTTGTAAATGGGTTACCTGGCGACAAGCGACAACGCCACCGGAAGCACCTTCATTTTTCTTCCACCCACCAAGTAGTCCAATGCCTCCGATCCTCTGCGCTGCTCCGCGCCACTTTTCTTTTTCTTCTCGATAAATCCGAAATAAAATCCAATTACCGCACAAGCCGCCAACATAAGCACAAATACCAAATAATCCACCAAGCCGAAATGTTGCAAAGATGAGCTGAGTTCCGCTACATTCATGGGATGTGCTGTCGTCGTCGATGGGGCATTGGTTGTGCCGAGTGTCTCTAAAGTAGACTCTAAGCGATCCATTATTCCGGGAAATTTACAACTGGTCCTTTGTTTTGCGGATCGAAAATTGTAATACTATTTGAGTAGCTTTTTAAGTTCGGTTAAGTCGGCACACACTTTTTCGGAGTTTAATGTATCTTAAATGGCATCACTGCACTCAACGTCGAGTATGGCCTTAAATTTAATAGAAACAAGTCTTGCTTAGTGTATTTAGTAAAGTGCGACCAATTCAAGGGAATATTCAAAACTAACTAAGTAGCCGACAGCACAATTAATCGACGAACAGAGATTTCAGTTTGTTGCCTATTTTCTCTAATCTACTTGCATATGTATGTATGTACATGTATGTACATAAGTTCAAAGATATATGTATAACTACTAAATTCATCTTCATTCATATGAGAAAAATGTAGCACTTATTAATAGGATACATATGTACAAATTCATTGTGATATGAACAAAATGACAACAATGCCATTGTCGAATTCAATAGTGATAAGCGACAAGCTACTCGTATTCCACCCACAGCATAGCGACTCTTTAGAGTCGAATGTTTAGACGCTTTATTGCACTGAATGTTTGTCAAAGCAGTTAGTTCTCGGCTGCTGCAACAGCTACAGTTTCAGTGGATGCATGCATGACACTTGACTTTCTTATTATTTATTAGAAGGAGCATCACCCGCTACTGGCATTATCTGTATGTACATTATCTGTATGTGCATATAAAGCTACTCAAATATATTTACTAGGTGGGTAGTAAAAATCGCGACACAGTTTAATAAATGAATGTACAAATGTAGATAAGACTGCAGACTTTAAATCTAATGTAATACAAATAATAAAGATACATACATACGTAGGTACACTTATAAATTACAAGCCAATGGCGACCACTATTCCACGAACTCGGATTATTTTGCCTGAATCCGTAAGCTTGTAATATTTAATTAAATATTATACCAGAATAAAATGTCACGCGTGCACATGAATTCAAAACAACAATAACACTATGCATTACACAGGCCCCTCAAAACTAGTTAGCAATTTGGGTAGGTGTTACCCAGCAAAAAACACGATTACCACAGAAACGAAAGTGGATACGAGCTAGGCGATGGGAATCGCTTACCCTTTCGCTTCAAGAAGGCCTTATTTTAACATGGGCATGTCATTGGAGGTAAGCCCTTACTCGCAGCATTACCTTCAAACGAAGGGGAACGCATGGATAAACAGAATCCAGAGAAGCGAACAAAGAATGCCTTACAGAGAAACTAATGTAGAATGCCTAGATAAGTACATAATTATTTATATTAAATTGAAATCAGAAAATGTCTTAAAAGATTAAAATTAATTAAAATTTTTATAAATCAACTTTTATACATACATATGTATTTAGTTAGGTATTTAGAGTTTCTTAAAAATCGGTATGTACATACATGCATATTTAACTAAGCTTAAAAGTGTACTTCCTCACTCTTGTACTTCACTTCATTGACTGACTTCAACTTCGCTGCAAATTGAACAAAGCAAAACATGATTTTTATGCGAGACAAATTTCCACAGAAAGTAACGGTAGAAAAAGAAGTTTTGGGTATTCATTCTATTTTTCAGCTGACTACGATGCAGCATTCTACTTTGCATTCTCCGAAATGAAGCAAAGAAGCGAAATAAAAAAAAATATTGTAGGACATTCTACTTTGCATTCCCTGAAATGAAGCAAAAAAGCGAGACAAATAAAATATTGTAGGGCATTCTACTTTGCATTTCCGGAAATGAAGCAAAGAAACGAATTAAAAAAGAAATATTATAGGACATTCTACTTTGCATTCCCCGAAATCAAACAAAGAAGCGAATAAATAAAATATTGTTGGACATTCTACTTTGCATTACCGGCAATGCCTAAAAGAAGCGGAAAAATTCGAAGGCATTATAACGCTATGGCTTCTAGTACACGTTACCACTAAAAGCGATTACCGATTTTTTGCTGGGTAGGTACTAAGCTACCAAAAAACAAGTAAGAGCAGCGCTGTCTTCGGCTATGCCGAAGGCTTCATACCTTTCATGAACATCTGCAAATTTTAGTTTGACAGATTACTGATTTTGAATACATCTGCATACATCGATAGAGGAGTTACATACTTATATAAAAAATCGCATCTAAACAATCAGAGGTATGGAAGATATACTTTATATGGCACCAATCTAAGTGATTTTCACTGCTATGTGATCGGTATGTAAACCGGTAACACAATTTATTGGGTTTAGTTTCCTACATAAAGGAGATATATCGCAAAAACTGGTATCTGAACAATCAGTGCTATAGGAGATAAAGCGTATACAGCATAGATTTTGACGATTTTCTCAGTAGACTTTGTATTATTATTTATAAAATATCTTACGAAATTTATCGGTTTTAGCTGTTCAAATAAAGGAGTTTTACAGTAAAATCCCATATCTGAACAATCAGATGTATGGAAGATATATGTTGTAGTCATCCGATCCTTGTTATTTTCATTGTAAGTATTCTGTTAATAATGAGTGAAAATGGTGCGAAATTTCACGTTCCTAGCTGCATAAATGGAGGAGTTATGATAAAAGACCTCATATCTGAACAATCAGTTGTATGGGGGCTGCAGGTTATAGTGACCCGATCTTTGTTATTTTCACTGTAAGTCTTCTGTTGATAATGAGTGAAAACAGCGCGAAATTTCATGGTCCTAGCAACATAAATGGATGAATTATAACGAAAAATCTCATATCTGAACAATCAGTTGTATGGGAGCTATAGGTTATAGTTATCCGATCTTTTTAATTTTCACTGTAAGTTTTCTGTTGATAATTATTGAAAACAGTGCGGAATTTCCTGTTCCCAGCTATATAAATGGAAGAGTTATAACGAAAAATTTTATATCTGAACAATCAGTTGTATGGGTGCTATAGGTTATAGTGACCCGATCTTTGTAATTTTCACTGTAAGTATTCTGTTGATAATGGGTGCAAGTATTGCAAAATTTCATGTTCGTAGCTGCATAAATGGAGAAGTTATAACGAAAAACCTCATATCTGAACAATCAGTTGTATGGGAGCTATATGTTATAGTGGTCCGATTCTTCCGGTTCCGACAAATGATTAATATATTATAAAAATACACCCACCTACCAAATTTGATCCGGATATCTCGAAAACTGAGAGACTAGATTGCATACAAAGAGACGGACAGACAGACAGACGGACAGGCGGACAGACGGACAGACGGACATGGATAAATCAACTCAGCTCGACGTTCTGATCATTTAAGTATACATTTTAATGGGTCTATCTCTTCTTATTCTGGTACTTACAAACATCGGACCAAAGTTATAATTACATTTCATGCTCATGAAAGGTATAAAAATAATAAAGAAAATTCCGACTTGTAAATTTGTACAGCTTTGTACATTTTGGCAATCATAGAGTAATGTTGTCTACAAATTTTGATCGAGAATGAGTTCAGCTCAATAACAACTTTCCAAACAACATCACTCTGAAACTGTGAAAATGTAAAAATCTGAACAAATATACAAATCGTGTGATCCCTGCTTAACGTCAATTTTGCGAGAAAATTTCACTTTTGAAATTTTTATCAGTGTTAACGAATATTACTAGCGTTAACTTCGAACTTCCATAAGTCTTTCTGGTGTCTGTACTTAGTGTATTTAGGGGTAATATTAACTAATACTGTTAATTTTTAAGTAAAAAATTTAGTTTTTCAAAATAACTAATTTTTGGGTTTTTTCTCGGGGAGCCACGCCCCCTTTTCCAATAACTACAATTTTTCTTCATGAGTATGCATTTGATTTCATGTATGTATCTCCATACCATGTTCGAGTACTCTAGCATGAACACTTCCAGAGAAGACGATCTGTTATAATGAGAAGACGAGCACATTCGCGAAGACGAATACTAGAACGGGGTCTTAAGCTAATATTAAAGGTGGATTCACTGTACTTGCTCTTAAACATTTGATATTATTGCCTACATACGAAAATATGATTTTGAGAGGAAATAACAAATTCGTTTCGACAACAAATGCATCAAAAACAGAAAGTCGTTCGGACAGAAAATCAAAATCAATTTTATTCGAACAAAGAGAATATGAGAATATGAGAGTATTCAGCACATTCTTGTTGCGCGCTCAGCGAGACAAAGTGCGAAAAGAACGAGTAAAACTACGAACAAATTGCGTCGAAAGAACGGTGAAGCCGCCTTATAAGTAATACAAATTTCCGTAGTATGAAGCGAAATAAAAATTAATCGAAGTAATGAAAAATGGCGCTGGGGAAATTATAACTCACAGAAAATACTTATCATGACATATATTTATTAAGTTTAGCGGTTGTGGCTCCGACACAGCCCACGGGCCAAGATAAAGTCGCTGGACTGATTTTATTTTTTTTTTCAGGCAGTGGCAAACCTTCGAGTCAGTGGCGGATCCAGCGGGGGGGTGGGGGGGGTTTGGGGGTTGTGGTTTGGATGTTAAGCTACGTGTCAGTCAGTGGCGGACCCACGGAAGGTGTTTTAATACGGCGCATATATATTAAAACACCACCCGTGGATCCGCCACTGACTGGAACGTAGTTTGGCCCCCAAACCCCCCGCTGGACCCGTCACTGCTCCGAGTATATCGCTGCCATGAAAGGCTTCTCATAAAATATATTTGCCGTTCGACGTCGGCGTAAAACTGTAGATCACTTTTTATGTTGTTTCGTACCCAAGTGTATGTATGAGCCAGATATAAATTCCTAATTCAGTCAAGTTCTGATGTAGGGCGTTCTTGAAAAGTTTGCTGAGAGATGGCGCCGAGATAGGACGTTCGTCCACTCATTTTGAAATACATACAATATATATTGTCTAAACAAACTTTAACACTTCAATGTTTTTGCACAATCGTATCTGTGCAAATCTTGCAAGCGTTGCGTGTAAAATGAGCAATGACCCATTCACCAAGCATGGTGCACAACACTTCTGCAACCATTAGTCGCTAAAATATGTGCATACATTTCTATCTGTGTATAAATATGTACATTAAGACGTTGGTAACACGACATATAAAAGAAAAAAAGTTTATCGTGTGTCAGTTTTATTTAAACACTTATGCTAAAACCCCTAAATTCCGCCAAATCGTGTTTTTTGCTATAACTTACTTATTTGGTATCAGATTTCAAAATCTTTATATCGCCGAAAAGGTCTCGCTCTATAATTAGCCATTAATCAATTTCGGGTTTAAACCCGTTTTGATTTATACCTTTACTAATTTAAAAAAAAAAATCTAGGGATAGTATTTCCCAAATGAGTGAAAGTATAAATCAAAACGGTTTTTGAACCATAATTTTTTAATGGCAAATTATTTTCCTGAGCGAGGCCTTCTCAGCGCACAGTGCGGCCGAATTCTAAAAATTCGAGAAAACAAAGTTTCTAGATAGGCCTTTTTTGACATTGAGTTGGCTAAAGGAATTACCTAAGAAGCGAAAACTGTTCACTGTAACGACCTGTACGCTAAGTCCCCTCTTTATATTCATTTGTAGTGGGACCTTCTCCCAAACACAACAATATTGTAATAAAAAGCGAGAAGTTATTAACGTATAAAAGTAGTTAAAGAATAGGAAAGCAAACAAAACCAAATGGATTCCACGTCTGAAGATTAGTAAAATACGTTAAAAAATTTGAGAAACCAATTACTGTAACAGAAATTTTTAGGAAATTAAAATGTAAAGGTATTTTTTTCGTTTATTTGTGAACAAAATTTTAGTTGTTAAATGCAACAGTAACAACACGCTGTCGGATGCTGCCTTTAAAACCTATTGGAGTTTGCGTAGAAAAGTATTAGCTACAGAATAAACCAAAACTCAGATGCTCATTTCTGCTCCTTATATATTTTATATGCATATTCACCAGTATGTAAAAATTTCGAGCTTTGTAATTAGATTTCACGGAAATATTTTTCGTATGCAGTTTCGTGACGCATTTAATTTAAGTACAACAAAAAAAAATCTCAAAAATCAACGGTAAGTCCTAGCTACTCCAAACTTGCACTTTGTGACACTAAAATTGAGTGGGTTATAAAACTGCGTACTCGAAATCTTTCTAGGAATTATAATTAAAAAGCCCGAAATTTACCAGACGCCTTCCTGGATCCGCCATTTCGAATTTTGAAATTCTGACAGCGGATTCGTAGTTAGCAACCTCGAAAACCCCCTAGTACGAAATTTCGAATAATTTCTTTAAACCTTCGAATTTTGGCCGCACTTTTGAATTTCGGCCGCACTGTGTGGCGGCAAAAATCGGATATCAAATAAGAAAGTTATAGCAAAACACGCGATTTAGTGGTTTCTAGCGGGAGTCTAAAAAAAAATGTGTACACTCAAAATTATTTCTCGAATAAGTATTCAAATAAAACTTACACAGGCTAAACTTTTTTTCGTGATACGCGTTAATGTACAAACATATCTGCTATGGTCATATGCACGCGTTCGTAGTTAGTATTAATATACTTATTTAGCGAAATGGCTATGTTAAAATGACAGAGTATGAAGGCGAGTACCCTCCAGCTGCAATTAACTCAATCGAATAGCATGAAAACCGTGTCGAAGTCATCATCATTGAGTGCAGCTAGTTACAAGTTAACTTGTGTCAATTCAGTTGCTGGACGGCAATTCGTCACGCTGGTTATTAGAACGCTTGTCAAATTCAATAAATTTTTGTATAAAATGGGAAATATTATTCGACTGCTTTGGCGCATGTTTTTAATGTCCACAATTTGCATTGGTGCTGCAGTTAAGTCGAACCAAGCGACAGAGAGCCCAGCGCGACCCATCGCCAACGGTTCTCACTCCGTCAAAGAGGCTGCAGATGTGGTGCGGGTGGTATCTGGTACGCAAGTAAAGCGTTTCGAGCGAATGACTGTTCCTTTGGGTGGCCAGGTCATCCAACATCCAATTTATTTCGGTTACAATTTTGCCAGCGTGAGTACTGCTATTGAAAGAAATATTCGAAAAGCCCTTGACTGATCTCTTTGCAGGTTGTGCCGAATTGGCAAGCGTCCGCAAAAATTGTAGGAGATGGCGAGTCCGCCGCTAACGGAGTGATTACATTCCAACAGATACCCTACAATAATGATATCAGGGTGACAATCAACGTAACTGGATTGCCACCAGGCAAGCATGCTGTACACATACACGTTTACGGAGACATCAGCGATGGCTGCAAGTCCACTGGTGGGCAATTTCCCAACAACTTTGTAAGTAACAAACAGGCATGCACATACAAATCTTTAAATATTAGCGTAGAACGAATAAAATGAGTGAGAACTGCCCACTCTGGTGTACATATGAGGACACATATACACATGCACAAACCTATATACATACATACGCCTTATTTATAAATGCATACTAAGCACATCAAAATTCGGATTATTTTGATCAATTTCACAATTTCTCCTAACTTATAGATCGGTAATGTTGACACAAAAGACGATGGCAGTATATCAGCTAGTTTTCGCAGTGTATATTTAAATTTATTCGGCATTAATGGAATAGTTGGACGCTCGATAGTTATTCATGAGAAGCCCATCGACCTAAATACGGCACTCAATGCCGAAGTGTTTTCCAGTTCACTCCAAGCAATGCCAGATGCCTTGGCTTATCAGAATGAGGAAAACTCTGTGGGTCCGGCCATTGCTTGCGGCATTATCAGTATTACCAGTACAATGGCACCGACGACGACACCTTCTATGGCTCCGCAGATGTAAGGAAAATGTCCACATATTACAACCATAAGCAAGAACGAGAGAATACAAGATTGCGCCAATCGAGCTGAGAACAACTGGGTGTGACGTCACATTATTAGCTCTGGGCCCAATTGCACCAATGACTTATCATTTATCACTTTACAACTTTTAGATAAGCCTTTTTATTGAAAAGTAAAGTTGATAAGTGTTGCACTTTTTACTTATTATAAAAAACTTATCAATTTAAAAAAAAATTAATAACTGGCATGTTTTTTGGATAAGTCGATTTGATAACCATTGCACAGCCAATTTCTTTTGCTTTTCAAATAGAGAACTTTTCCAATAATGTGCTTAGCTAAAATGATTACCGTTTCTCAATGGAAAACGAAAGCTTAGCAAACCCATGTGCGATTTGATAAACATTTTCAATTTATCTTTTTTTTCTTACTATGTCGCGCGCACAAAGCACAGCCAATATATTAGCTGTCTTAAAAATTATTAAGGAAAAAAGCAAGTCCGTATTGACTATGTATGTTTACATAAATAATTAAATTTTTCTAAATTAAGGATTATTTATTTGGATCTTTCCAAAATAACTCAGTAACAAAAACATAAAAACCACATTGCATTAATTAAATGATTTCCGTACCGGTTAACAAATCATAGTTCCATCAATGCTCCCTGCGTCTTAAGGAAATTCACCAATGTTGAAAAATTTTCGTAAATTCCCGCCAACAAATAGTTTCATCCATCAATTTGTTTATCAGGGCATTTGCCACTCGATGGATTATTGTACATACCGCTAATTTGTGAACCCCATGCATTTGACCAATTCCATGATGTTGGCTACCATTACCTAATTAGTGCAGAGTCAATAATAATTGCTGTAGCGGACTTAAGCCATTATTACACCCACTGTTATATTGTAGGTCCGCTCCAATTTTTAATAAAATTTCTTCAATTTGGCTACGAGATAGCCGAAATTTTTCTACTACATCAAAATCTATACTGTAGCTGATTTTTTCTTTTATGACACGCTTTTTATTATTTGCAGATTTTCCTCCTCTAATAAATTTAATAGTTCGAATCGAAGCCTTTTTTGTGTCAATATTTTATCGAATCATGTGTTAGAGCTTAAGTTTTAGATTGTTAAGGTATAGTTGTATTATCCTTTTACAATAAATAAATAAATAAATTCATTCATTAAATTCAGACTGAATAAATGTAACTTATCACTTGTATGATAGGTAAAATTACTTTTAGCAAAATAATGCTAAAGTTAGCAAAATGAAAGATGATAAGTGATATATACAAATTTTTGGTGCAACGAAATGCTAATAAATTTTGATAATTTGCATAACTTATCACTTATCCGCTAAAGCCTTTTCGCCAAGCATTTCAAATTTTGGTGCAACGCTTATCTATGATTTTGAGTGATATTTTACTTATCAACACTCATTTGAGTGACTTTTCCTTATCATGTTGGTAAAACACAAAACTTTGCGTAAGTTCGATAATCTGCTAAAATGCTAATGATAATTCGTTGGTGCAATAGGGCCCTGATCCAATACTTTTCGTGTAAAATCCTGTAAAAATCTCAAACAGCAAAATTACTCTCTGAAGTGAGAGTAAAAAGTGAGTAACAACAAAAAGCACGGGAACAAAAACAGCATTTTTCCTGTAAAAACGTCAACCAGTGATCGTTTGACAATTTTCATGATTTTACCGGAAGAAAAAGTTCGGATAAAATTTTGCAACTTCATGCTCTACACAACTCTCCGAAAATCGCTCTCATTTACAGGATTTTGGAGGAACTTGGAGTATGGGATCATTATTCCTGTGACTTCCTGCAAATTCGTGTAAAAACCTGTAAGTTCATGGATCAGAGCTATTATGAGAATAAGAGTGTAAAGAATACATTTGAAGAAGAAGAGGAAGAAACGAAAAAGTGGTGCGAAATAGTGATGTAAAACTAGGTTGAATTGTACTTAGCCTTCAGCTTCTTAAATTTGAACGTACATTCGGTACAATCGCATTATTTTAGGTACATTTGGAACGTAGTAAAATATTGTTTCATAAAAGTACATTTTTACTGTTTAGGTACGTGTGTCTACTTTAAGGTACAACTTTTCGGCAATTAGGTACAATATGAATATTTAATATTCATCACTAACAGGTCCATTCTACACGTTACCGAAGATTTTGTAACCGGAAAATTTTATTACCAAAAAATGTCCCCAGTTCTTGTCACCGCGATTCTAGGAATGTTGGTAATGCAGTTAAAATATTCAGCAATTCAGCTATGAAGAATTGTGCAAATTCTGGCATTGCATATTTCACGGGGTAATACTTTGTTACCAGCTTATGAGATGGTAAAAAAATTTACTGGTTACAAGAGTACTCAGAATGCGAAAAGGGTTTAAAAATTGACAGACACTTTAATTACCGGTTACAAACTTTTTATTACCAGCGCAGAATAGACCTGTAAAGCGAAGAAATAATAATGTGACGTCAGCGAAAGGCTGGATGCTGTCAAGTCGAGAAAGAGGGGATTAGCGGTCCGCAGAAGGCGCAACCTTTGTTCTGCTGCATCATAAAGATAGTTGCTTTGTAACTATGTCAAAAATTGTATTAAAACTGAGAGCATTGTAGTTCTAGGTAGGTGATTCGTAATAAAAGTAGCGCAAATGTAATACTGGGTAGGGCAATTGCATTTTAAGAGGATCAATATGTCAGTTTTTTTTTTGGTTTTGATTTGTGACTCAAAAAGGATCCATTTGGTTTCAACGATATGGAGAAATGTTGAATGTAAATAGGCATTTGCATATGTTTGGTCCTTATTAGTAACTGGTTACAAGAATTTAGGTCTAGCTCATTCAGTACTTTTAGTCTAACCCGATATCCTACAGGGTATCTACGGTTGATGTACATACGTATGTATGTGTTCCAAATAAAGCAGCATTTTTTTAATTTATGTATTATGATTATTTTAAATTTGTATACAATTGGTTATATATACTTAAGTATTTATGCATAACATTTTGAATAAAATATAGAATTTACTTAACTTACCTTTTCCCTAGCAAAGATGTCTCCTATAACTAAGTAATTTCGGTTTTATGATTTCAATTAACACATTTGAAACGGCAAATCACACAACGGGGCTAGAGGCGCTCCATTTCTGATATTAGAGCGCTACATAATCATACATATAAGATGTTTCCACCCGCTTTCAAAGTAATGTGATGAATAAGAGTTGATTTAACTTTTTTATAGGCTAACTTTTCTATTATATCAACTCTTATTCATCACATTATTTTGAAAGCGGGGGAAACATCTTATATGTATGTATCTAGTGTTCGTCCGATACCACCATGTACTCGATGCCTGAACTCATTAAAAGTATCGAAGAGAATACTCGATTCTACTTGTACTAGAAAGTACTCACACAAGAAATTTTAATTACTTACAATACTTATAATGACATACAGTGGAGAAAGGCTTATGAAGAGCTGAAAATGCCTTTTCATATCCTTCAATTTTGAAATGGGGTTACTTGGAAGTGCTGAGAAAGCTCATTGTTAAAATTTCTTTGATTCTTCGCTTTCTAAAGGATCTATAGATGACGCTTCCGCAAATCATAGGCTGGCTCCACATCCTCCTCTAAATTGATTCGATTTTCGTTCTCCACCTTCGTTAGTTTTAACCCTAGCGAAATCGAGCGGTTCACATCATGAATCATCAAAAACTACAACACAGATCTATTTTCAATTGATTTAAGTCGATTTAGAAAACAAGTAAATACTTGCACTTTGTACTCGATACCCATGAAGTACTTGTACACGCATATCGAAGTACAAAAAATACTCGGTACTTGGTAGATGCACTCGAGTATATACTTCTAAGTACTGGTATCGGAACATCACTATATATATATCTTATCGACTTGAGCCTAATTCAGTATCACGAACGATAGGCAACAAAAACAATTTGCCTGCAGAGGAATGCTTCAAAAATTAGTCCGGCGGCATCATTCTAGCCGGTTTAAATGCAACGGAGACCATTGCAACGTAATATATGAAAAGCAAGACGAAGACGACCGATAGAGTAATAAAATTGCAATCAGCGAGCATTCACCACCATCCAGACTGGACCAGGTTTTAAGCTCCTTTTCGAGGTATAAGTTACGGGGTTGGGCTGCATTTTTCTGGTGGTGTTGCCGAAGGCTTCACAAAATCTGTGAAGGCTGTTTAAGACTGATCTACGTTTCAACGTCTTGGAGGACTGCGAGGGATTTCCACTTACCAAAAATGATCAGAAGTGGACAGTGAAAAACGGGAAAGCCTAATTAAATTTCAATAATTCAGAATCGCTAGTTTATTAATTTTTTTAATCTAATCTATGAATGGAACACCTAGTGTATTAAATATAGTTTTTACATCTTTCCGAGAACTACCGCTACATGGTAAGCAGCGGTGGTTTTACCCCTAGTTCAAACATCTCTGATAGAACGTTCAGCTAAACAATATGAGATCAGCTTATATAGTTATTTATATGTGGGCTGTATCACGCCCATTTTCCAAAATTCCCTAATAATATTATTTCTTTTCAAGGGATTTTTGTTAGTACCAATGTTAAGCAAATAAGCGTTCTCAAATTTCCGAAATATCGAAGTTTTAAACATTTCTGAAATTTACCGTTATATGAAAAGGGGGCGATTTCAATACTTGTTTGCTTTTATGTAGGAAGCACAATAATCATACCGAGTTTGGTAAAAATTGATCGAACAATTACCGAGATATACATATGTGGTCAAAAGTGGGCGGTGCCACGTCCATTCTCCAAAATTTTATTTAAGCGTATTTTTTGCTAACGAATTGTTGCAAACTTCAATTTTGAATAGATTAGCTTCAGTATTTACCGATTTATCGAAAATTTCGTAGTTTTCCAAATTACCGTTATATGGGACGTGGGCGTGGTTATTGTCCGATTTTAAAATTTTTCCGCCGTTTGGTATATTTTACCAAGACCAGCAAATGTGCCAAGTTTGGGAGAAATTGATGGAGCGGTTACTAAGTTATACACATGTAATCATAAGTAGGCGTGGCTATGCCCATTT